CCCCCGTTCCCACAGTGTGTCTATGTGTGCATTTTCTGGTCGAGGTGTATGTGTCCTCTGTTTCTGTGCCCCCTCACCCTTCACCATTGAACAGCCACAGGAGCACTTTTTCTCCCCCCACCTCCACTGTTGAACCGTAGCAGCCAACAAAATGGCCACGATTCATCATTCCTTAGACAGGGCTGTTGACTGGGCCGCCGTCCTGCGCGAGAGCTGCTCTTCTGTCTCCTGCAGTGATGTGGAAACCAGAGACGTCCGGCTGTAACTAGCTAGGTGCTCACAAGAGACCACTAACTCATACCAGGCTAACCTACCTACTACATCAGAAGTAGAGCACTAACTATGAATGAACCACATCTAATTTACAATAACACCATCAAGACCTAATCAGCTGTTACATAATGAATGACTGTTGTAATCAAACCCCGGCTGTCCAAATGACTGGTCACAGTATTTCTGCTGTTCCTGTGTGTTTGTGTTTGCCTCTCATGTCAATATCTATCTATCTATCTATCTATCTATCTATCTATCTATCTATCTATCTATCTATCTATCTATCTTGATCTAATATTTGTTATTTAATTGTGAGACCATTTCTCTTTTTCGTCAGTGTGAATAAGGATTAATCATAGTCCATCCATGCTCTCCGTGTCTTCTTTTTGTCCCTTTTTCCTGTTTCTCTCTCTTTTTCCCTGCTTTTCATCGTTTCCCACTCTTGTCTCTTGTGCTTCCTCTCCTCCTCTGTGTCCTCTGTCTCTTTAGTACACCTCCAGTATGAGAGCGAAGTACCTGGCAACCAACCGACCAGACCAGAATCGACGCTCCGTTCCCAACGACCAACTGGATCCCGCTAGCCGGCCTCACCCTGCCGCCCGACCACAGTCCTCAGTCCACTAGAGACCAGTTCAACCCCCCCAGTTACTGCCTGAATCCAGTTCTCACAGCCAACAGCAAAGACCCGACGCGGCGCTCACACCGGAGCTCAACCAGAGCCCAGCGCCTTGAAGCACCAACAGGACCCCGGTTCGTCAAGGTCCACAGAATATCACCAACACCTGACCGGTTCACCAGAAACAACACAGCAAAGCCTGAACTCATCAACCAGGCTCCACAGCACAGGACAGCACTTTGAAGGTCAACTTCTACATCTCACCCACAGTTACCCAAAGTAATCCATCAAAGCCAGTCACAGAAGATTTCTACTTCTCCTCTTCATGGACCCCAGCTGCTTGTTCCACCAGCGCTGTGGTGGATCAGCCCTCGGACCCACAACGCACAGCAACAAAAGCACCTCGCCACAGTTTCTTCTGCTTTTCAACCGTCTCTTTCTCCGCTGGAATCTGTGCACTTGCCTTCCAGCGGAGGCATCTTCGCCGCTCTCACCGTTCAACCCCCGACGCTTTTACGTTCAGAGCGCACACTCACACACAGACAAGCGCACACACAAAGCACACACACGCTGTACAGAGCTGTAAATAGTGATCATGTGCTTTATTCTGATTTCATAAAAAGTAGACTGTTGAATCCTTTCTGGTTATGTGGTGTGCTGCGTGTTTATCATGAAAATTCTTGCTGTTTCTTCTCACACAAACACACACACACACACACACACACACTCAAATAGGCGGATACTCTAACCGAACACTCATCTGTATAAAATAATAAGCCAGTGAAACAGAAAGCCATGTTTAGATAGAAACTGAACTGTGTCAACACATCCACATTCTCTCTCTTTAGCTTAACATTGTCGTCTAAGACTTGAATCGTGAGCTCTAAAAACTGTGTGTCCGTGTCTCTCTCCATACTTGTTAAGGTGCACATACAGTACACGCATTGATCGATGCGTTTTTGAACATGAGCCAGGAATTCTGTAGTGAAATAACCGCTTTCGGATTTTGAGAGATGGAGTCAAGAGACAGCGGACATAAGAAGGCTCAACCTGTGCCAAAAAACTGAATAATAAAATGAGGGATGCCTGATTCTGTCCTACTGCCTCCGGTTGTGTCACAAAAGGGAAGAAAAAAAAAAAAAAACAACCCTCACATGGAAGGCTTTCCGGTAAAAAGGGAACAGAAAAGACGCTTGAAAAGGGAAGCAGTGGACTGATAATCGTGACTACACATTTGTAAGGTGCTATGTGAAGCAGTCAAGGACCCAGAAGATGATCAGGACTGAGGAGGGACAGTTTTTTTGTTTTTGTTTTTTTTTACTTTCATGTTGTTGGTTTTTTTTCCATTCAGGGATGTGATCAGGAATATAAAAAGCAGTTTAAAAAAAAAAAAGAAGCATCATTGCAGAATGGAAATTGTGTCCCGGAACCTGAAAAAAGAAATCATGTCCCTGATTAATATTGTTACATAGAAGTGTTCAAAAATGCAGGACAGTGGGTGTTTTTGTTTTTGTTTTTTATCATAAGCTAACATTCAGGATGTGATACTGTGACCAACTGTAGTATTCTGTTCTGTTCTTCTTTACTGTTATTTCTCTCTTCCTGTGTTTTTTTTTTTTTTTTTTGATCAGCCTTTAGCCATCCATAGTCTTTTTTTTCTTTCTTTCTTTTTCCTTTTTTTTTAAACCCACAAGCACAAATTCTCTTCAAGGTGACTTTGTGAGCTGGAGAAGTAAACCTCACTGCCTGGGACACTGCCAGTGGCTTTTTCCTCCCGCTCCGAAACTCTGTGTACAGTGTATAAAAACAGTCGTCGTGAACCCGTGTGTGTGTGACAGCGTGATTGGCTGTCGCTCTATCTCAGTGTTACTCTGTGTGAGTACGGTGATCAAGTGTGTCCGACCGGCCGCAAGCGAAAGGCCGATCTAGCCTGAGTCATTTCTACATTGACGCTGCGCACACACACACACCTATACGCAAGCACACATACATGCTTTACAGACACACACACACACACACTTATTACACACTGCAGTATCATGTAAAATCCATCTTTTCCCAACTTTTGTCCTGTTTACATTCACATCTAGAGTAACTGCACGCCCTCCCACACTGATAACCATTTGCATTATGGGTGATGTAGTAGGTAGTAACTGCATTTCAGAGACCCCCCCACCCCACCCACTCCCCCCCAAATCTGGTAGGCAACTGAGCGAGCAGAGCCCTAACATTCAGCCACCATTCCTGTACAGCATTTTAATATCGTATTATTAATCAATGACCACTTCTCGTATTAGCGAGACAATCTTACATGTGTGATTTTACTAGAAAGGAAATGTCCATGTTATGGTAACAATGCTACCTATGGTCTAGTACTTTACAGTGTTTTGTTTTTTGCACCATTGATGCAAACAATGTTAAGATCTGTGGGACTAGTCACTGTTAAATGGCCTTTCATAATGTTTTTAAACTCTTACAACACTCTTCATATCACAACATGTTTTTGTTTTTTTTGTTTGTTTTTTTTTTCTCTGTCTTGTAAAAAAATCAGACTTTAAAGATAAAAATAATAGCTAGCTGTTTTGTAGGAGAATAAAGGCAAGAGCAGCGTTTTTCCTCTCTTATTAATGGTGAATGACTCTCTGTCTTGCAATGTTTTAATAAAACTATTCCAGTGTAGTCTGCACTCCTGGCTTCAAGTTGCATTTGAAGTCCTGCACAATACTTTCTGAGATTTGACCAATCTGGTAAAGTGCGTCTTAACGGGGGGTTAAAGGAAAAAAAAAAGAGCCGAGCTCATGTTTAAGAGTCGATCATATGTGCGTGTGTGTGGTATTTACAGGATTTCAGATACACTTCTATCCAGACGTGACAGACCAACAATGTTTTCTATGGCTGTTTTTATTTTCTGATGGTTTAACTAAGATATTAATGATATACATGTCGAAACTGTGGTAATGATATCATTCAGCCTGGAATAAATGTTTTAAAAAAAAGAAATTAAAGCAACTTTAACGTACTGATCGTGACTGCTGCTTCTTTTTATCACTGTGACTGTTTCTTTTTCTAGATTCGAAGAGTTCATTTGCAAAAACACACAACTCCATCTTCACAATCCTTCAGAAAACCCACTTTTCCATCGTCTACCTGAGACAACATCAATCAAATCTAAGTCATCTCTTTTTTTGTCATTTCTACTGAGTCAAATCCACTCAACTTCAGTTTGATTGATATCTCAAGCAAACAAAAATAAGTTTTCTGAAAATCTACAAAAATGGAGTTATCTGTTTTTGCAGTTTATTTACCTTAATGTAACTGTTTGTGTTTTAACAGGGTTTAGGGCACTCAAACTATCAAAGAAACACACAACAACTAACACAGTGACCTATGTGTTCGCTGATTAAAATACTCTTGAGATTTCTTTTATGTGACTAAAATATTGAGTGTATAAATTTCGTAGCCATTTAACTTTGTCACAAACCACTTCAGCACCACATACACTCAGCTTTTGACTATTGATGTGACTTATTTTTATGTTTCATTTGTGCAGAATGAAAGCGATTGCTGGTTAAAGGTGACAAAGTGAGATAAATGCCTCCATTAATGTTGACTCATTCCAGTTTTCAGCATATTTCACAAGGATGAGTGCATGTAAAGGTTCAATGTACAAGATGTTGAAGATAAATATGACATCAATATACCAACAAACAGCCATCTGCTACATAAAGACATTGTGGACGAACAGCATTGTTACCTCTGTGTAAGTTTTAACCTGAATTTCTCTGAACAGCTGGTCTGGCTCCATGTAGTACATGTAAATGCAAGTGAATGCCTCCCTTTGATACTGTTTGTCCTTGATGCATGTATAAAGACTAACCTCCCACACTGCACTGTTAAAGTGAAAGTGCAGTGCAGCTGATGCCCCCAAAGTATTTTATTAATATCACTTAATTCATGGTCAATTCAGCCTGTAGTGAGAGCCTCCACTGCACGGGTGTCCAATCCTGGTCCTCGAGGGCCACAGTCCTGCATGTTTTAGATGTTTCCCTCTTTCAACACACCTGATTCAAATGATCTGGATCGTTATCAGGCTTCTGCAGAGTTTGATGATGAGCTGATCATTTGAATCAAGTGTGTTGGAAGAGGGAAACAACTAAAACTTGCAGGATTGCGGCCCTCGAGGACCAGCATGGGCCCCCCTGCTCTACTGCTTCTTTGCTTTGTTGGGTTTCATGTTGTGTTTGCGTTGCTGTGTGTTGTGGTGAAACCGACTGCAGCCGAGCAGACATGAGTAACAGTGACACAAGTCAAGAAGGTAACTCAAACTTGTGTATTTTACAGTTTTAGTTGTATGGAACACCTCTCCTTAATTTCTCCACATATTCCATATTTATTTTTCTACCTTTCTCCAGTCAAACTGCATAAGCGTGTGAACTTCCTCTCGGTGCCAAGGTGACGTCACTTCCCTTTAGGAGCTTGTGCCGAGCAGGAATCCTGGGATCAGGTATCGACTACTCACCTGGACAGAAAGCCCCGCCCAAAACCATTTGATTGACAGCTCAGTTCATCAAGGAAAAACAAAAATAAAATGGAAAAAGCATTGACAAAAGGGAAAAACAATGAGAATTAAAGCCGCAAGCGGCGATGGACGGGTCCTCGCCCTACGCTTGTCGGCCTTTGCGCACGGCGGGTTGTGGGGCAAACCTGCTCCGGGCAGGACTGTGATCCGGCATGTCGAGTTTGGGGCAGATCGG